CCTGCTTCTCCCTCTCCCACTCCCCCTGCTTGTGTTCCCTCTCTCGCTGTGTCTCTCTCTGTCAAATAAATAAATAAAATCTTTAAAAAACAAAAAGTGATATATTTCAGAGCTCTTTCAGTATGAACACATAGAGATCCACATAGCTGTACTGTAGTTCATTGTGTGGATGTAGAAGGATTTTATTTAAGCTGGGAGACATTTTGATTGTTTCACATTTTATTTGACCTCTGGATTTGAAGTCACATATATATATACATATATATATTTTTTTGCTCTTCAAACAATACTGCATCATACATCTTTTTGTATATATATTTGTATATTGGTGAGAATACATCTGTAGAATAACTTCTAGCAGTGGACTTAACCAAAGAACATGTTCATTTAAAATTTTTATAACTGCTGCCAAATTGTCCCACACATTGTAACTGCTTACATTTCTCATGAACAGCATTTGAAAATGACTTTCTTCTCATAGTTTTCACTAATACTATGTTATATAAAGCTTTTTATTTTTGCCAATAGCATGGTTGAATATTGGAACTTATTTGTTATTTTAATTTACATTTCTTTAATTATAAATTTAGACAATTATCATATTTATCAACAGTTATAAATCTTTTTCTATGGATTGCTTATTCCTACCCTTTATTCATTTTTCTGTTGTGCTGTAATTTTTCTTGTTCATTTGTAACAGCTGTTTGAATATGAAGAAATTTATCCTTGTGTCAGCAATGTGTATTACAAATATCTTCCCAGTTCATTGTTCATTTTTCAAATTTAGTAATTTTTTATTAGGGAGAAATTTCACATTTTTATGTAGTTAAACTCATATGCATTTTTCATTTATGACTTCTAGCCTTGTTTTTCCTGATACAGAAAGTCCTGTTTGTGTCCTTAGCACCAGGCACCTCTTAGGAAACCATGGAAGTATCTGGAAAGAAAGAAAAGAAAGGGGAAAGGGAGGAAAATTACAGAAAGATTTTCCCTTTCTGTACATTTTTAAATTTTGCTTTAACTTTTCAGACTTAATCTAGAAATTTTCTATTCACTTGTTCAGAAAGCTCTGTGTGTGTGTGTGTGTGTGTGTAAGTAAATTAGCCATGTGCCTAGCATTGTGGTACAAAGCACTCCCTTATAAATGCATAGCTCCTTATCACCAAGGCACCAAGGTACTTAAAATCTGGGGAAAATAAGAGCAGTTCAAAGCAATCTGAGTACTGTAAGAATTCAGAGTAAAGGAACACTGAGTTTGGCCTAGAAGTAGCTTAGAAGCATCATAAAAGAGGTATGTTTCTTCATAAATGTATATGGTTATCCCTCTGAGCCCCACATTTTCCTATGACTCTAAATTCATAGTTGGTTCTGTGTTGAGATATTTACTCAGGCCGGTGGATGTCTACCTTTAGTATCTTATTTGGGAATATAAAGACAAGGCAAGGAATGTAGAAATAGAATCTACTCTGAACCAGACTTCATAGAATTAAGGATGAGCTGGGAACTGAGGAGGGAGGGAGACAGGGTGTGGGAAGAAGCCAGGTTGGATTAGTTGCTTCTCTGAGCCGTCTGTTCTCTTTTGTGACTAACCGACCCTGTTGTAACTAAGTGGTCTGGAGAAAGGCTCAGCATCCTTAATACTCCTGATTCCAAGTCTCCAGGTCCATGCAGGCTTTACACTGTCCTCACCCCCATGGACTTGCTCCTGTTGGACAGTACAACCAGGAACTCTCTCTCTCTTTTCAGGTGAAACCAGTGGGAATGAAAGTGATGCTGAGTATCTGCCAAAGAGTGAGTGAGTCAATGGGGCTGCTCCCTTTTTCGTGATGCTTATGGTTATGGGTGGAGTGGCACCTTCCTTTGTGATTGAGCATGTTTTTCCCACATTAAACTTTATTTTGTAGGCGATTTCTTCATGGTAAGGACCTGTTGAGATTTGGGGAACTACACGGTACGCCATCAGATGTTTGAGAGAGTTAAAAAGCTCCCATGTTGGAATGAGACAGTCTGGTTCTTAAGATGGAATGTTCTAGGGGAGCGGTGGGGCTGCATGTTCAGACATATGTGCAGTAGCTTCCCAGCAGCCAAAACAGAGTATGTGAATCACCCTCTGAGACAAATACATACCATTAAATATCTGATTTTTCATAGTCACTCACGTGTACTTATTTAACTTCGCTATCTCTGACATTGAGACAGGAAACATCGATCTGTTTCTTATTCAGAGGCATTTATTTATATTTCAAATTATTGTGCCATTTACTTTCTGTTAGAATATAGAATCTGCCATGCATTTTTGGCTGTATTTGTTCAAGCACCTCGTGGTGCTCTGTATCCTTCATCTAATGGATTTTCACAGCAAATTATAAGTTCCTGTTTAACTGACCGACATATTGAGGCATGGGAAAAGTCAGAGACATGAATGATTAAAGCTGAGTACCAGGCAGTTCCAAGTCTGATACTCTGATCTTATGATTAATAGTCATGTGCTCTCTCCATTGGCCTGAATTGCTTCAGGTGTTTGTTTCAGTAGCCTGATTGAAGGTGAAACTTAAGTCATCATCAGGTTCAGCCTGGATATGTAAAGATGACGAATTTAAAGCTGTTGCTACTGAGAAACAGGACCTAAAATTTTCTTGACTTGAACTGAGACCTTTGGAGTAAGTAAAGCTTTGCCTAGAGCACTAAATGGACTGGATAATTCCAGGGAGCCATTCTGAGATGAATTTTTAAGTGTTCTTAATATTTGATCCATAGTGTAACTTCTTTGGGGGCAGAATGCATCCTATCTCAAAAGAAAAGCAAACCATTAGAGGATGCGTCTTTTAATCACAGCTCAGGATAACACATAATCAAATCTCTGGGACACTTAGACTATTTCTTCAGCAACTACAGCATTTTCCCTAGAGGAGACTACCCCAAATTGTTCACAATTTAGAGATATATGAGAATAAAGGCTAGGGGACGCCCGGGTGGCTCAGTCGTTAAGCGTCTGCCTTCAGCTCAGGTCATGATCCCAGGGTCCTGGGATCGAGCCCTGCATCAGGCTCCCTGCTCGGCGGGAAGCCTGCTTCTCCCTCTCCCACTCCCCCTGCTTGTGTTCCCTCTCTCGCTGTGTCTCTCTCTGTCAAATAAAAAAAAAATCTTAAAAAAAAAAAAAAGGGAATAAAGGCTAAATGCTATCCAGTTTTGAGTGGAATTGCTCATACTGTTTAAGTGTTTAGTATGCATCCGTAATTTCATTCTTTTGAGAAATAGTCCATTAATAGATGTCTTCTGTTACTTCATTTTTCCCTCTTCATTTAGCACCATATCTTGATATTAGTGTATGTCCATTATTAGCAATATATGCCAAGGCGAGAAGGGAAAAAAGGACAGTTTTTTTAATGTGAGGAGAGTTTTTGTTTTAATTATATCAGACTCATCCCTTATGTACTTAGACTCTATTGGACTCAGTTCTTTTATCAAATCTCCCCCCCACAAACACACACACACACACACACACATACACACACACGTGTTTTCATGGTCCCAACAATGGCGTCTGCTGTCAGGCCAGTGCTTTCACCTGACATTTTCCACGTATCCCGGTGTTACGTCATGAAAGATGGGACAGCATAGGAATATGTGTTGGGACATACATAGAGTATGGGTCGGGACATGGACTGTCGGTGCCACCACAGGGCCCCTGGGCGCTTGTGAGAATCTGCCCTTGTCCCCCGAGGATGTCAGAGCCCTCCCAGGCCTGTCCGTGTGGCCCGCACCGATTAGGCAGCATGCAGTCAGCAGTGACTGACAGAGGTCACCAGAGGGAAGACGGGGCCACCACGGAGAAACAGCGCTCCCTGGTTTCATTGCAGATCGCCACAAGCGATTAGCGCAACTGCAACAGTCTTCCAAGAGGAATCCTCACTACCAGACCTTGGAGAGGGATCTCATTGAATTACAGGAGCAGCAGCTCTTTGAACTTTTTGTGGTGGTGTCTCTACAGAAGAAACCATCAGAAATAAGCTACATTCCCCAAGTCATACAGCAGTTCCCTAGCAAGGTAGGTGTGAGGAGACCAAGAGGCATTCGGGAACGTTCTTGCATCTCTGTGTGTATTTGATTTCCTCTCTTCTTTTTATTGTGATCTGAAGCAGCTTTTACCACTACTGTACCTCTTGTGGGATCTGGTAGGTAAGTCTGATGACATCTCCTGTCAGGCCTGAGCTACAAACAAGGGCAAAAAAAAAAAAAAAAAAAAACTCATTTTCCAAGTTGGTTTTTTATTATTTGCTCTGCTGTTTACTAAGTGCCCTTTATCAAGTTGCAAAGCCTCAGTTTTCTCATTCTTAATGAGGAGCACGATAAATATGGCAGAATAGGGTAGCCGTTTAGAGCATGGACTCTAGGCCAACAATGCACCTGCCACTTATTAGCTCTGTGACTCTGTGCCGTGGTTTCTTCATTTGTAAAATGGAGATAATCATCATAGTGTCTATCCCACTGAGTTGTAGTGAGGATTAAATGAGCCGTATAAGGCACTTAGAATAGTGTCTAGCATATAGTCAGCACTATAGAATGTTACCCATTATTAGTGAGGGTTTAATGAGATAACGTATGTAAAGTGCTTAATGCAGTTCCTGGCACATAGTAAGCATTTGATAAATGGTATCTATTAGTAAGAATATTCTTTGGTTTTTTTTCTTTCTACCTTATGCCTGAGGGAGCATAATATTAAATAGCAAATAGAAATCCCACTAGAAGTTGAGAGACCCTAGAAGAAAAGAAAAAGTTTTATATTTTATTTTGTACTTAATTTTTCCTGCTTTTTGAACAAGGGCTCCACAGTTTGATCTTGCACTCTGCTCTGCAGATGACGTAGCTGGCCTTGGTAAGGAGTGGCCCTTTTACATAGGGACATTCACTCACGCTCCATCGTACTACTTGGACCACTTCTCTCATTTATGTTATCTGCTCAGCTGCTTTAGGACTTGGGGTTTAAACCCTGAGGTACATGTGTCACCAAAAAGAACTAGTGAAGCACAACTGTATTGGAATGGAATCTAAGAGATATTTCCTGTGTGACCTTTCATTTAAAAAAGAAAGGGCTCAACAACATTCCTACTGTAAATAAGTCAGTGTTTAACTTCTTATAAAATTCTTCAATGTAGCCTGAGAGCACAGTGTCACAACACTGAGCCATAGAAGTCATGATAATGTAATCCAGATAGTCTTGAAGAATCAGATTTCCCGTAAAGAGGAGCTCAATTTTTTCCCTATTTTGAATTAGTCTTACATTTGCAGAGAGAAAGCTTGGGGTTGAACCTGTTTTCAACAAAGCCTGAATTAAGGGACTCAGAACCAGCTAAGGACCCAGTTGACTCTGGCAGGGATTCAGGGATGTTTCTAAGCCAAGTTACTCAGCATCTTTGTGCATTAGGCTCCTATAAGTTAAGGTGGGAAAGAGCTGATCAAGTCTCTCTTGATTGTGTTGTGGAGAATCTTAGATGAAGATGATTGTCTGTCATTTAACAATATAAAAATAGGGGCACCTGGGTGGCTCAGTCGTTAAGCGCCTGCCTTCGGCTCAGGTCATGATCCCAGGGTCCTGGGATCGAGCCCTGCATCGTGCTCCCTGCTCGGCAGGAGGCCTGCTTCTCCCTCTCCCACTCCCCCTGCTTGTGTTCCCTCTCTCACTATGTCTCTCTCTGTCAAATAAATAAATAAAATCTTAAAATATATATATATGTATATATATATATATAAATAACAGAATATGAGACAACTAAAATTTTGTTAGAATGCTTTTCTAGGGGCGCCAGGGTGGCTCTGTTGGTTAGGTGTCTGCCTTCGGCTCAGGTCATGATCCCGGGGTCTTGGGATCGAGCCCTGCATCGGGCTCCCTGCTCCACATGGAGTCTGCTTCTCCTTCTGCCTCCCACTCCCCCTGCTTGTGCTCTCTCTCTCTCTGTCAAATAAATAAATTTTTTAAAGAAATGAATGCTTTTCCATTTCTGAAGAGCTTAATATTCAAGTGACTCAGAATGGCTGCATGTTCTGTTTAGAAATTAAGTTAAAGGATACATTATATTAGTTACATGAAAGTAATATGGTTATTAGACTTATTTGCTTGTTTTAGTACTAATTTTTAAATGTCTCTTGGTATAACTAATTTTAGATTGTTCTTTGACGTACAATATCGGACTTGCGCAGAAGGGTCTTCCATGCTAAAATTTCACAGGAAGTTGCAAACCAGTAATTAGTTAGAAAAGATTATATGCTTAAGGGAAATGATTATATATGGGGTAGATTTTAAAAGTAGTATCTTTTCTAAACATTCACCTGCCTTTTCAAAACATCTTTGATTATTGATCAGAGGGTATCTGGAGCTATCTGGGTTTTTGCTATCAGCATATTATAGAATCGATTTTTATTTGATGTCCTGTGATTCACAGAAATATCATGTTTCCCCTAGTATGTGAATCCTGAATTAAGATTCTATCTCTAGACTAGAAACTATTTTCAGTCACCTCTCTTGCATCAGATTATAGGATCCCCACAAGTAACCATTTCTGTGTAAAAATAAGATTCTTTATTCTTAGTAACTCTGTTCTCCATGCATCTTCAGTGATTATTGGTCTTGGCCTTCCTGTTGTGTTAAACAACAAAAAACCATGGTGAGATGACTACCTAGGCTTATCAGAGACCTCTTTTCCCGAGACTAGGCTGTTCATGTTTCTGGTCTCCACTTACATAGAATATTTGTCACCTAAAACATTATCTTTTTCAGGGTGATCATGGCTTTAAGCAGTCCAAAGACACTGAAGAGAGGCTCAAAGTTATCCCCAAATTTTGTTTTCCCGACTCAAAGGACTGGGTGCCAACCTCAGAACTCAAGAGGTAAATAGGCTCCTTTATCTGATTTCTATTTGTTGGAACTGCAGAAGTAGAATCAGAATGTTTGTGAAAAGGGTAGATCCAGCAGTTAAAGTTACGTGGACACTGTGTCAGGTCAAGGATGCTGTGGGAGGAAAGGAAGAAACGGAATTAGAACATTTCCTATGTGAGTACAAAGAAGAAAAACACAGAATAGTTTCAGTGTCAAAGGGAAAACAAGTTGGAGAATCTTTGTAGTTTACCAGTTCTGTGGGCGGGGGAAACGTTCCATTTCACATACAATCAGAAATGCCACCAAGTGGACAGAAAAAGGAAAGAAGACTTGAGCTTTGGGACTCTCCTTAGAGGGAGTCTAAGGAGACTCCCTCTCCTTAGAGAACAGAGCAGTGTCTGCACCTTGTTTGTCCTTCAAGTGGACAGAAGCCCAGGTGGTACATTCCCCTGCAGATCTCGTACGAAGGGAGGCTCCAGATTGGGAGGTGTGAGTGTATTGAGAAGGGAAGATCAAGAATTGCTTCCTGGGATCTCCAGGGAACCATGTTCAGTCAATAAACAGTCCTCATCTCTGAATCCTGCTTGTCAATAGATACGTGCTTTGTTCAGAACTGTGATTGTTGACCAGGCTATTTAGGCTGAACAGTGTGACTCTGGGAAGCACGTCACAGGCAGGTGCCCTGCTGGCGGACGGCCTCCCCTGTGGCCTGAGCGGCTGCTCTGCCTTCCTTGTCACGTCGCCTCCCGTCTGAGCCACTGTGCCCCCTAACCAGTTGGGCCTGATGGCCTCTGTCCTCTCTGAGCCGTCAGTCCTGACGCTCTCCTGCTGTCACGTGTGCTGCTCGCGGCACAGGCGCCTTGTTTCACACCGGCCTGGCTGCTCCACAGCTGGCTTTCCTCCCCAGCCGGTTAGATGGGGTTGTTTTCTGGAACATTCAGAAAATACAGAGGAGTAAATAGAAAGCAGAAATTATAAGTCACTGGCATTCTGGTACTCAGAGATAGTAACTCAATATTTTGGCGTACTTTCCATCTTTATTTTTGGCCATATATAGACATGTGTATTCACTGTTCAGATTTAGATTTCTTTGATTATTAATGAATTTCTTCCTCGGTCTTCTTTCTGAAAATTACCTATGCAGAGCTTTTGCCTGTGTCTCCAGCGAGGAGTGGGTGATTTTCCTATTAGCTTGTTTATGTCAAGGATATATCCTTGGCCTCTCACTGTTCCATAGGACCCCTCAGAACTAAATGGAAGAATTTGGAAGGGAAAAGGAGCAGGAGCTTATCCAAGCTTACCTAAATGTTAAACTACGTTGGATATTCACTAAAAGGAGAGTAGTCTTGACTAATAGCTAGACTGGATGACTAAGAATGTAAAAGCACATAGTAGCATCAGCATGTCTCCTGTACGTACACTCTCACCCCCGTGCCAGGCAAGACGTTCTCAGGCCTGGACATTCTCCCTCAGGAGGAAGGTGACTTGCAATCAATGTAGTATTAATGCCCCCTCTCACATCACAAAATGACTGTCGGACAGTAATTTTCAGTTGTCTGTTCCATGAAGAATGTCATAAGCGGCTGTTTAGATCTCAAACTATTGACTCTTTTTTCAGTGAAACATTCTCCTTTGTCTTAACTGGTGAAGATGGGAGCCGGTGGTTTGGTTACTGTAAGAAGCTCTTGGTAAGTACCAGACTTGTGCTACAGGTGGGGTTGGTCAAGTCAGACTAGGAAGTTCAGAAACCCTATTTCTAGATGAGTTTGAGGGCTGCTTAATGATCCGTGTATTAAAGAAGCTATGTTGGGGCGCCTGGGTGGCTCAGTCGTTGAGCGTCTACCTTCGGCTCAGGTCATGATCCCAGGGTCCTGGGATCGAGCCCCTTGTTGGGCTCCCTGCTCAGCGGGGAGCCTGCTTCTCCCTCTCCCTCTGACCACCCACCCCTACTCGTGCTCCTCCTCTCTTTCTCTATCTCAAATAAATAAAATCTTTTAAAAAAAGCTATGTTAGCTTTAAATAGTAACAGCAGGGTTGGAGTTAGCCACAGTGTTCCAGAATAAGAGGGGTACAGACTTTATTTATTTGTTTGCCTCTTTTTTATTTGTTTGTGATAGATAAAGAAACCAGTGACAGAATGGCTAAATATCAGTCTGGGTCTGTTTGAGGGATGGACTACCGTGAGCCAATCGTGGGAGCTCTGAGTTACTTTCTTCTTGCTTAGATGCCTCCACTAAAGCTGGAATAAATCAGGCTATCATATTTTAGCGTTTTCCCATCTTTTGGTGTTCAGTGAGGATGAGAACCTTGGTTTCTAGTCTGTACTGAAGGCCACTAAGAGAGTATTAATAGTTCCAATGAACAGACTTGTGCTGCCTCATGGTTGCTTTGATGTTTTCTCTTTTAGCCGGAAGGCAGAGGGAAGCGACTCCCTGAGGTCTACTGCATGGTCAGTCGCCTCGGCTGCTTCAACCTCTTTTCCAAGGTGAGTGCAGCATGAGGCCTGGGGAAGGTGCTGTGCTTTCTGGGCTCTGAGTAAGTTTTCATCTCTGATGATATCACTAGGCAATGTTTAGTGACGTAGACTCTAACATAGTACTTTAGAATGGGTTCTCAGTAGGAGATTAGAGCCGTAGGTTTGAGGGTTTACATTCAGGTCTCTAATCCATATGCTGTTGTCATGCCATCCTCATTTTGGTTTGCCAAACCTCCCAGCTTCAAGGAGAACGTGGCCTGAAGCTCGTCTTGTCTCCTGCCTTTCCCAGACACCACACAACAAGATATAATTGTCAGTGTCACCTTCTCTGCCCTTACCTCAGTCAGATGAAAGGGGCTCCTCTTCTAAAAATGAGTTGATTTATTTGAGTAACTTTTCTTGGGGATGTCAAGATACCCCCAAGAGATATGATGCCTTTAATGAACGTTTATTCGTTGTAGAAAGCTTATCTGTCTTAAAATCTTTTGGTGTGATTTTTAAGTTTACGCATCATGTTTGGCAGTTCCTTATGTTTTTGAGTCCTTAAAAAAATAACATACGTTGCATGTGCAGATTCTGGATGAAGTAGAGAAGAGAAGAGAGATGTCTCCAGCCCTGGTTTACCCATTCATGCGAAGTGTCATGGAAGCTCCTTTCCCAGCTCCTGGACGCACCATCACAGTTAAGAGCTACCTCCCTGGGGCTGGCGATGGGGTAAGTTAGCTCATTTTGAAAAGGTTTGATAGACACCAAAAAGCAGGCCTTACACTAATAGGCAAAGTTTCCAGAAGCCTCACGGCATAATTTTCCCTTTTCCATAAACTGTGCAGAATATGTTTTGGTAACACAAAACACTGGAGAAATGTCCAGTTGATCTGTGAGATAGTTGATCCTAGACACAGGAGCCAGAGGTTTTCGGTCTCTCATTGATTGAGCCCCTTCCTAATAATTTCAGTGTGATAAATGAAGATAATACATGCTATTGTCAGGTGGGATAAAAGATTTTTTTAAAAAGATTTTATTTATTTATTTGAGAGAGCACAAACAGGGGGAGCAACAGACAGAGGGAGCTGGAGAAGCAGACTCCCCGCTGAGCAGGGAGCCTGACATGGGGTTCGGTCCCCGGACCCTGAGATCATGATCTGAGCTGAAGGCAGACGCTTAACCAAGTGAGCCACCCAGGCGCCCTGGGATAAAAGATTTTATCAGAAATTTACAGCGTGGAAACAAGGTGTTAGGGGGCACCTGGCTGACTCGGTCAGTAGAGCATGCCACTCTTGATCTTGAGGTGAGGAGTTCAAGCCCCATGGTGGGTGTAGAGATTACTTAAGAAAATAAAATCTTGGGGCATCTGAGTGGCTCAGTCATTAAGCATCTGCCTTTGGCTCAGGTCATGATCCCAGGGTCCTGGGATTGAGCCCCGCATCGGGCTCCCTGTTCCGTGGGAAGCCTGCTTCTCCCTCACCCACTCCCCCTGCTTGTGTTCCCTCTCTCGCTGTGTCTCTCTCTGTCAAATAAATAAATAAAATCTTAAAAAAAAAAAAAAAAAATCTTGGGGCACCTGGGTGGCTCAGTCGTTAAGCGTCTGCCTTTGGCTCAGGTCATGATCCCAGGGTCCTGGGATCGAGCCCCGCATCAGGCTCCCTGCTCCGCAGGAGGCGTGCTTCTCCCTCTCCCACTCCCCCTGCTGTGTTCCTGCTCTCGCCGTCAAATAAATAAATTTAAAAAATCTTTAAAAAAAAAGAAAATAAAATCTTTAAAAAATTCATATTCATAATAAGATATTAGGTCTTGGGATTAGTGGAGGCAGCTTCACAAGCTCTGTAGCAAAACCTCTGTCCTGAATTTAACCTGTAAAAGAATGACGGGATCCATTGATGATGTCATTAGGGATTTTTTCCAATCTGAACTCCCCTGATTCAAATTTTTTCATTTTTCAGTCCATTGAACTCTGCCGACCACTGGATTCCCGATTGGAACATGTTGACTTTGAATGTCTCTTTAAGTGCCTGAGTGTGTGCCATCTCATCCGGGTCTGTGCCTCCCTCCTGTTGGAACGGAGGGTAATCTTTGTTGCCAACAGCCTAAGGTGAGAAATGTGTAGAATATGTCACTTCCTACTGGTATTTTACTTGTTCTCACTATTTTAAAATTTGGGCATATTCAAAAACTGTGGATCTCAGTCACCTAATGCCGGGGCCGTAGTGACATGGACAATTCCAAATGGTAAATAATCCAAAAGCTGTTTGCATTAGGCTAGAGCAGTGACTTTGAGATTGCAATTAATTTATCTTTCTAAATGTGTTTTACTTAAACTGTTGTTCAAAATTCATGTTGCTGAAAACAATTCATATTGCTGGAATTAAAACAAGTCATGGGAATAAAAGGTACAGCATAGGGAATATAGTCAATGATAGTGTAATAGGGTTGTGTGGTGACAGATGGGAGCTACCCTTGTGAGCATAGCATAATGTACAGAGACTTTGAATCATGATGTTTACACCTGAAAATAATAGAACGTGCATCAACTATACTCAAATTTTTTTAAAAAAATTGGTACTGCTTTTCTAAGTACACACTAATTTTTAGCAACCATAAATTATGGGGAAAAACTGGTTAAGACTAAAATTTTTCAGTAAATTAAGTTAAAAATTTAAATAAAATGTTAAAAATTAATGAGTAATCACAGCATCATTGATCTGTGATCACTGATCACTAAACAGCATCAGTTTGTAATTCTGTAACATAATATCTGGACCATTCCCCATGTGTTGCTCAGTATGTGACACCATTGGCTTTCTTCTCTACTAGCACCCTGTCCAAATGTGGCCATGCTGTGGTCGCCACACTGTATCCATTCACCTGGCAGCACACCTATATTCCAGTCCTCCCAGCATCTATGATCGACATCGTGTGCTCACCCACCCCATTCCTTATTGGAATCCTGTCTTGCTCCTTACCACAGCTCCAGGACCTACCCATTGAAGAGGTAAGATGGGAGAAATAGTACCTATGGAAAAGACAGCGCACTAACGAATGAAAACAAATCACCTTAAAAAATGGTGGAGCTGGAGGCCCCTGGGTGGCTCAGTCAGTTAAGCATCTGCCTTTAGCTCAGGTCATGATCTCAGGGTCCTGGGATCGAGTCCTGTATGGGGCTCCCCGCTCAGCGAGGAGTCTAATTCTCCCTCTCCCTCTCTGATCTCTCTCACTCTCACTCTCTCTCAAATAAATAAAATCTTTAAAAAAAGAAGAATGATGGAGCTGTCATTAATATTAATACGTAATTATTATCAATATATTAGGCTATCATATTTTTGTATTGATTTATTAAAGGGAGAAAAATTCTGTAGTACACATGAATCCAAAGTTGTATCTTAGTTACAGTAGTGTGCCATGGGCTCATTCTTGTGTTACTCCGAAGGGTAGGTCTTTTTGTTCATTTTAAGTCAAACACAAGAACTCCTCTGGGTTAACTTAAAAAATTGTTTCAGGGGTGCCTAGGTGGCTCAGTTGGTTAAGCGTCTGACTCTTGGTATTCTCGTTGTGATTTAATTTGCATTCCTGATTACTCTTGGGGGTGAGCATCTTTCTATGTTTATTGGCCATTTGAATATCATCTCTTAAAAATTCATTATCTGGGGCACCTGGGTGTCTCAGTCAGTTAAGCATCTGCCTTCAGCTCGGGTCATGATCCTGGAGTCCCAGGATCGAGTCCCACATCAGGCTCCCTGCTCAGTGGGGAGCCTGCTTCTCCCTCTGACCCTCCCCCCTCTCATGCTCTCTCTCTTTCTCTGTCTCTCAAATAAATAAATAAAAATCTTTAAAATATAAAAAAAATTATCTTTCTACTGGATTATTTACCCTCATTGATTTGTAAGAGGTATTTTTATATTCTGGATATTACCCTCTTTGTGGCATGTCTTTTTATTCTCCAAAATGGTGTTTTTTAATGCACAGAAGTTCTTCATTTTAAGATAGTCATAATTATCAGTCTTTTCCTTTATAGTTAGTGTGTGGGTTTATTTTATTTAATTTTACTTTATTTTATTTTTGTGAACTGTTTATGTTTTTCTTTATATAACTTCATGGAGATATCCTCCTATATCATCTCCTGGAAACTTTGGTAGCTTTATTATTGTGACTTTTTTTTTTTTTTTTAAAGATTTTTATTTATTTGACAGAGAGAGACACAGCCAGAGAAGGAACACAAGCAGCGGGAGTGGGGGAGGGAGAAGCAGGCTTCCCGCGGAGCAGGGAGCCCGATGCGGGGCTCGATCCCAGGACCCTGGGATCATGACCTGAGCCGAAGGCAGACGCTTAACGACTGAGCCACCCAGGCGCCCCGTGACTTTAATTTTTTATTCTGAATCCCGGGACTTGATTTTTTTTTTTCTTATATGTGATAGGAGGTAGGGGTCGTTTTATTTTTTTTGATATGGATAGCCAACTATCCTAGTACCATTTATTGAAAAGATTGTTCTTCCCCATTACTCTGCTGTGTTAATCTCTACCTTTTTTCTATTGAGCTATAATTGACATACAACATTGTATTAAGGTTAAGGTGTACAACATAATGATTTTATACACGTACACATTGTGAAATAATTAACCACAATAAGCTACGCCTCACATAATTACAATTTTTTGTTCTTGTGATGAGAACTTTTAAGGTCTGCTCTCTTAGCAACTTGCAGATATACAGCAATATTGTTAACTGAAGTCACCGTGCTGCACGGTACACCCCCAGGGCTTATTTATTTTACAAGTGAAAGTTTGTGCCTTTTCACCACCTTCACTCATTTCACCCATCGCCAACCCCCCCACCTCTGGCAATCACCAGTCTGTTCTTTGTATCAGTTTATTTAGATTCCACATATCAGTGAGATCATACATTATTTCTTTTTCTCTGCCTGACTTATTTCACTTAGCATAATGCCCTCCAGGTCTATCCATGTTGTCATAAATGGCAGGATTTTTTTCATTTTTATGGCTGAATAATATTCACATATATATATTATATATATATATAATATGTATATATATCTCATGTCTTCTTTATCTGTTCATCCACCAATGGACACTGAGGTTGTGTCCATATGTTAGCTTTTGTAAATAATGCTGCAGTGAACATGGGGGTGGGGATATCTTTTCAAGATAGTAATTTCTTTCTTCTTTTTTTTTTTTTGCATATATGCCCAGAAGAGGGATTGCTGGATCACATCCACATGGTAGTTCTATTTTTAATTTTTTGAGGAACCTCCATACTGTTTTCCATAGCAGCTACACCAGTTTGCATTCCCACCAGCAGTGCACGAGGGTTCCTTTTTTCCCACATCCTCACCAACACTCGTTATTTCTTGTCTTTTTGATAATAGCCATTCTGACAGATTGAGGTGATATCTCATTGTCATTTTGATTTGTATTTCCCTGATGACCAGTGATGTTGAGCATCTTTTCATGTGCCTCTTGCCCGATTTACATTTTTTTGGAAAAACGTCTATTCGGTTCCTCTGCTCATTTTTTTTTTTTAAGTAAACTCTACTCCCAACAGGGGGCTCGAACTCAAGATCCCGAGATCAAGAGTCACATGCTGCACTGACTGAGCTAGTCAGAAGCCCCTGCTGTGCTCATTTTTAATAGGATTATTTGGCATTTTGTTTGTTTTTCTTTGCTTTTGAGTTCTCTATATATTTTAAATATTAACCCTTTCTCAGATATATAATTTGCAAATATTTTCTCCCATTTTCTAGGTTTCCTTATCATTTTATTGATGGTTTTGATAGGGATTACATTGAATCTGTAAATTACTTTGAGTAGTATGAAAATTTTAACAATTTTCTTCTCATCTGTGAACACAGAATATCTTTCTACTTGTGTTCTTCAGTTTCTTTCATCAGTGCTTACTGTTTTCAGTGTACAGATCTTTTGCTTCCCTGGTTAAATTTATTCCTAGGTATTTTATTCTTTTTGATGCAGTTGAAAATGGGATTGTTTTCTTAATTTCTTTTTCAGATAGTTCATTGTTAGAGTATAGAAACACAGCTGAGGGGCGCCTGGGTGGCTCAGTCGTTAAGCGTCTTCCTTTGGCTCAGGTCATGATCCCAGGGTCCTGGGATCGAGCCCAGTATCGGGCTTCCTGCTCCGCGGGAAGCCTGCTTCTCCCTCTCCCAGTGTTCCCTCTCTGGCTGTGTCTCTCTGTCAAATAAATAAATAAAATCTTTAAAAAAAAGAGAGAGAGAAAGAAAGAAACACAGCTGATTTTTGTGTTACCAGGTGCCTGTTACCCAGGTGCCCCTGAACTTAATTTTGTTTAACACTATTTCCATTGCTTGAGAGAATCAACGTACTCTTCCTGATCTAGTAGTGCCTAATATATGTCTCTGTGAATGTCTCTGGTTTAACCAACCTGGCTCCTTGATCCCATAGGTGCTGATAGTTGATCTCTGTGCAGACAAGTTCTTACAGGAGGTAAGTGACAAATGAGCTGATTGCATAATGTTTGGGGATAATTGGACAGAAAATATGTGAAAGTACTTAGAGAAGATGACTCAGGCAAGACTTTTAGTTCCTACACATACTTAACACCGTGGCCAATCATACAGGATTGACCTGAAAATTGGGTTAGGTTTATAGCTGTCTCTCCCAAAGAAGGAAGGAGGAAAGATATTAAATGTCATTATCAAAAGAGGTAAGCTTCCTTTGACATCCAGTTGGGCTGGTGTATAAGGCTCTAATTTAATTGAATTTAACAAGCATTCAGCACTGATTATTTCTAGATACTCTGTTAAAATCTAAAAGTGAGTAAGACACAGTTTGAGCCCTCAGACCTTATAATCTAACAATGGGAAGGGAGAGCAGACATATCTATAAAGCTTTAGAAACAGTGTCATAGAAATTTCTACAGGGTACAGTCGGGGCAAAAAAAAGTGGTCATTTATTGTGGGTATTGAAAGTGGAAGGGAGAGTTAGCAAAGCCTTCCTAGAGCAAGCACCCTGTATGGACCTGTATATAAGTTTGTAAGCACTGAACACATGGTGAAAGGAACATTTCCCAAGACTTTGTCTCCTTTCAAAACCAATTAGCTCATAACGTTTGAAACACTGCTTATTTGTGGATGACCCTTGTAATGCAGTGTAAGACTTGCAGGTGAGAGATACTTGGTGGAAAGGTGCCAGAAAATGTCATAAGACATATTATTTATTTTCTTAATGTAGTTAAGATATGTGTACCGTCACCATACTGAATTCTGCTCAATGTAGGGAAGGAAGGTTCAGACTGAGTCTTAAGCCAAAATCTATACAAAGTCACCTGTGGAATTTTGGGGACTTAGTATACATTGGAGACTTTCTCACAGCTCATGAAAAAAATCTCAATTTCTTCTCTTAAGGTATCTGATGAGGACGAAATTCTACCTCCTAAACTCCAAGCTGCCCTGATGCAGATTTTGGAAGAACGAAATGAAATCTTGGCTCAGGAGCAGAATTTTTCACAAGGTATAAGACAGATGGTCTGAGGACACAGAGTCAAGGCAGTAAATACTGACTGGATGCCCAGCACCCTGCTAAAGGATGTACAGGAGTATACCATTGTCTAGGATGTGGAAAGCTTAGAATCGGCTTCCTTGCCGCCCCTCAGATGTGCTAGACCCCTTCTATTTCAGGACTTTGACACTTGCTGTGTTCCAGTTCTGGAATGCTGTTCCCCGGGATGTCCACATGGCTCTTGCTCTTCTTTCCTGCAGGTCCATGCTCACATGTCACTCTCTCAGTGAGGCCTTTCCTGACTGTCCTTTTAAAATTGTACCCGTTCCCTTAGTGCTCCCGCTCCGTTTCCCCTACCTTAGTTTTCTCCAGGGCTTTTACCATCATCTGATATGCTAGAAATGTCAGGTGCATGAGAGCAGCAACAATGTGTTTTGCTTTATCTCCAATATTTTAAACAATAGTCAATAAGTAGGTACTGGATAAATATTTGTTGAATAAGGGTGAAAAATATTTACCGAGCGGCTTACTCTGTACCAGGCCCTGTGCTCAGCACTTAGCATAAATCTTATTTCATCCTTGTAATAAATATCCTTATGAAGCAGGTCTCATTATTTAATCCCCCTTTTACAGATGAGAAAACTAAGTCTGTTTGCTGGTGGGGAACATTAAGGGAGGAGTAGGTTTAGAGAAATAATTAAAAGTTCCGTTTTGAATGTTGAGATACCTATTGGATGTCCAATACGTAGCAGACATTCAACTAGAGATATCAAGTAGGCATTCATATACATGAATTTTGGATTCAGGGAAAAGATTTGAACTAAAGACATACATTTAGAAGTTGCTGTTTTAAAGCTGTGGGACCAGATGAGGTAACCTTATAGAGTGAGTATAGATAGAAAACAACAGATTTAAGGGTTGAGCCCTGGGTTGGCTGGTAATGGTGTGGTCAGATTTCCAATGTTTGGCAGTAGGGAAGAGGAGGGGGATCCAGCAAAAGGCAAGAGCAGCTAGTGAAGGAGGAGAAAAAAACCAGGGGAGTAATATTAGAGAAGTTGAGTGAAGAGCGCATTTCACAAAGGAAAGTAAACAGTTATGTTTAATGCTACAAAGAGGTCAAGTGAGATGAAGACTGAGGATTTGTGGATTTGACAATGAGAAGAGCCTAGAGACCTTGGTAGCAGCAGATTCAGTGAGATGGAGGGAAGAAAGCGAGATTGGGGAAGGTTCAAGAGAAAATTGGAATGGCATTCAGCTTTTTGTAAAATTTTAACGGAATTACAAAGGGCCAAGAATAGTTTTAAGATGCTCCTGTAAAAGAACAACATTGAAGGGGTTGCCCTACAAAACATCAATTAATCATGAAGTCATAGTAATTAAGACTGTTTGGTTTTGGTTCAGAAATAAATAGAGCAAGGGAAGGAATAGAGAGAGAGTACCAGCATGAGGAAACTTAATTTGGGTCAGCACCAGCATTGCACATCAGCAGGAAAAGAATGAACCATTCAGTAAACAATAGTAGGGCAACTGGTTTTCCATATGAAAAGAAATGAAGAGGTTCTATACCTCACCCTATACACAAAACTAATTCTAATGAATTAAAGATTTAAATGTTAAGAGTAAGGGCTCCCCACCCCCCCCCAAAAAAGAGTAAGGGCTCCCGGCTGGTAAAAAAAAAAAGGATTGATTAATATGACACTTAAATTTTTAAAATTTCTTTTTTTTTTTTAATTTTATTTATTTATTTGACAGAGAGAGAGAGACAGCGAGAGAGAGAACACAAGCAGGGGTAGTGGGAGAGGGAGAAGCAGGCTTCCTGCTGATCAGGGAGCAGGACCCTGGGATCATGACCTGAGCCGAAGGCAGACGCTTAACGACTGAGCCACCCAGGCGCCCCAATTTTTAAAATTTCTGATCATTGAGGGACACCATGGAAAAGAAATAAAAAACAAGCTACAAACTAGGTGAAGATACTTTCAACAAATATAACCAACGAAGGAATAGTATCCAGACTTCATTTTTAAAAATTCCTACAATGTGATTTCAGTAATAAAGAAATGAACAACCCAATAGAAAAATGGGGAAAAGATACGACCAATCATTTCACAGAGGAGGAAACATGAAAGGCTAATAAATACATGAAGAGATGTACAACTTCATCAAAATCTGGGATATGTAAATTAAAACCACAATGGTATACCATTTTGTACCCACCATATTGGCAAAAGTTGAAAAGTCTGACAATGTCAGGAGTTGGTGAGAATGTGTAAATTACTTCAACTGCTTTGGAAAAACAATTGGGCATCATCTAGTAAACTTAAAGGTGTGTATATATCCTACAACCTGACAATTCAGTTTTTAGATATATACTCTAGAGAAACTCTTGCACATGATGATTAGGAAACAAGTACATAGTTTTCAAAGTAGCAGCATTTTACATGAGAGCAAAACCTAAGAACAACCTAACTGTTCATTGACAGGAAAATATAGCATTAAAAAAAAAAGCATCTTAAAAACATATATTGAATAAAACAGTAAGTTACGGAAGAATATGTTTTATGTAATGTTCAAAGATATACAAAACCTAATAGTATGTTATTGGGGTTGGCTATGTATACATGTAGTGGAACTGTAACCCAAAGCAAGGGAATGATAAACCCAGTGTCACTGATAATGGTCGCCCTCTACTGGAGAGTAGGGGAAGAACACCTCAGAGAGGGCATCACACAGGGAGCATCCGAGATACCCTTGATGTTCTGTTTCAAGCTTTGTGGTGGGTACTGGTGTGTTCATTTCACTGGTGACCTTATGAAATATTTATACTTGTAAAAGAATATATAAGGCATTTATATTGAAACAGAAACAAATAATTGAAGATAAGTTATAGAAAAGCATAATTTTAAAAACAAAGGGAATTAGATTAAGAAAGGGTACAACAGTATAAACAACTCTTCCAAGAGATTTTGCTGTAAAGTGGGAGAGAAATGGGACAGTAACTGGAAGGGGATGGGAGATGGGCAAAAGTGTTGACAATAAAAGTGGTGATGGACCATGGATTCTCAGCTGCAGGAGAGACAAGAAGGATATCTGTTGAACAAAATATAACAGAAATCTAGTTTGTAATCAAATGGAATGCCAGAAGAGACCTTAGAGACCACCTAATCAGCCCCCTCATTATGCAGATACAGGAAGAGAGCCAACAAGGGGTAAAGTGAGTTGCACACCACTATACCATTGCTTCATGGTAGAACTCTGACTAAACCTAGGTCCCTGATTCTCAGTCCAGTATGGAGCCCATGAAAAGAGGAAGCGACATTGTGAAGGGGGAAAAAAATACTATTAGGTATCGAAGAAAAAAGAGGAGTCTAAGTTGAATCTGAGGTCTGAGCCTGGAACCTGAAAGGCAATGTATTTCATGTTACAGTGGTTAAGAATCACCTAACTTGGGAGTCTGGCAACTTCTGTACCCTGTACCAGATGAGCTGACCCTGGAGAATGTCTTTGTTTTGAGCCTCAGTTTCCTCAGCTGTAAAAAGTCGATAATACCTACTTCACTGGATTATTATATTTATAAAAGCTCTAAATACAGTGTCTGACATATCTTAAGCACTCAATAAATAATGTAATAGTGGTTGCTGTATGAAATGAGAAAGTTGAGCGAGAACTGATTTGGTGGAGAAATAGAATGAATTTGGTTTCACACATATTTATTTGATTCATATTTTACCAATTTCCAAAGGACCTGATTTGAATTTTAGACAAATGGAATTTAAGTCCTGGTGGGACAGCCAAATGATGATTACCCGTAGGTAGCCTGAAAATGTAGAAGATGAGTTCTGGTGACATACAAGGGCTAGAGACGTAGGGTTGCAAATTATCAACATGGAAAGCCAACTCCATCTCTATGCCGGTTAGCTCTGTAAGGATGGGAATGCTGAAGAGAGGTGGTCTGAGGACCATGCTTAGGAAGAGGAAGAAGAGGCAAGAGAAAAACAAATGTTTGGTCATAAAAGCAGGAGAGGAATCCAGAAATCAGAAGAGTATAAAGTTGTGGGAGATGAGGAATGAGAAGATTAACACAAATGCAGCACAGAGTTGAAAGGAGAGACAAACAGAAAAGCAGATTAAATTTGGCTGGCTCTCACTGGTGGCCTTTGAAAGAGCAGTTACAGTGAGATCATGGATGTGCAAGCCAGGCTGAAAGATGTAATACGAGTATATGTGGGAAGAAAATAAAAGTAAAAATACGAGCTAATGGCGTTTTGTTGGTTGTGGAGTGTGCAAGGAAGCTAAGAATGAGGATTCTCAGTCCTTCAGTCTGTGAGTTCTTACGCATCACTTTCATAACAATTTCCCATAAATACAAAACTTAGGGTTTTTTCTTTTCTTATTTTTCTTATTTTGCAGCAGATGTGACACTCAACTCTCTGGTGTCTGAGGCATTTGTGAGGTTTTTTGTGGAGGTAGTGGGACATTATTCTTTGAGCATGACTGTCACTGAGCATGGGGAGCGTGTATTCCAAAGGGAAACATTCCGTAAATCCCACACCTCCCGAAGTGTACGCCACTTCCTGGATCTCTTCATGGAAACACAGATGTTTGCAGGCTTCATCCAGGACCGAGAGCTTCGGAAAAGTGGGGTGAAAGGTCAGTTTCATCATGAAGTTCTCCCCCTGTACTTAGTGAGCCCTTGGAGGGTTTGAAAATAATATAAACAAAAAATGGTGTAAAGCTACAAGGGTTCAAAATCTGAGTTTGTTATGGAAAATAGTTATTTTTATAATTTTGTTTTAGCTATTGAAGCACATTGGTAGTAAGCACAGAGGTTTTTTTTTTTTTAAGATTTTATTTATTTATTTGAGAAAGAGAATGGGGGGGGGGAGGGCCAGAGGGAGAAGCCAACTCCCTGCTGAGCAGGGAGCCCAATGCAGGACTCGATCCTGGGACTCCAGGATCATGACCTGAGCCGAAGACAGGCGCTTAACCAACTGAGCCACCCAGGCGCCCAGCACAGAGTTTGATTTAAGTGATTTTTAGTAAGTATTGGACAATTTCACCAACATGAGTTTTCCTTGTAGGTTTGTTTGAGGTCCGGGCCCTCCAGTATTTGGAAACAATCCCAGAGTCTGAGCCTAGTGGGATGAATAAAATTTTGCGGAGTCTTGGTGAGTTGTGTTTTCTTGTTAGATAATGTGACTAAAAAACCTTTTGCAGAAAGTGTGCCTCATCACAAAACTTCATAATCAAATCAACAGTATAACCTCAAATAGGCTGACCAGAAACCATGACTGTACTTGCAAAGTGTTTTGGAGAAAAAGAAGTCTTTCTCAGAGGTCGGGATTCTCCATCAGAGTTGTCCTTGGGTCTGTTTTCCTCAGATAACGTGATAACTTGCATATCATAATTATTAATCTTTTTTAGGTCACATCACTGGGAGGATCTCATAAAAACTGTGGATCTTTTTCCCAGAAAAGTATGGTTAGAACATAAAAATTTGTATATAATTACAGGGTATTCAGGGACCCTCCTGAAGCCCATCCGTGGACTCCAGATTAAAAACACCTGGTTTAGAGGGCATCTGCGGCAAAAGAGGATTTCCCACAAGACTAATTTTACACTTCAGAAAGAAACACAGATGTTTATGATTTTTCACTTATAATAATTAACTTTTTATTATCTTTTGTGATTTTGGAGAACGGTGATGTGGTAGCCCAAAATAATGAAGAACTATATTCCATGATGTTTATATGGGTCCTTGAAATATGTACCCCCTGGTAACTAGACTTATCATAGGAATCATTTTGTAATGTATAAAAATATCAAACCACTATGATGTACACCTGAAGCTAATAGGACATTGTGTGTCAATTATACTTCAGTACAAAAAGAAAAAGAAATATATGCCCCTAATTAAAATAAGGCCTTGTCCTTAAATATCTGAGAGACCATGGACAAATTATGCCTTGGGTTGTTATTTCATCTTTATACCATGAGGTTAGATCAGATCAGTGGTCCTGAACTCCTATTACAATATTTTAATCTCTGGGGAATGTAAATGAAAATTTTCCCCACTGCAGGCTCCAAGAAATCTCTGGGGATCAGGCCAAGCAATTTTAACCTCTAGTCAAGGCTGAAAGCCACTGGATTAGGTGATGTCTGAGTTCTCTTTTACCTCTACAATTAGACCCATAGGGTTTGTTTATTTGTTTGGTAGTTAAACACATCACCTGCTAGCTTGAGATGGCAGCTTACTCCTGGGCTGTTCCGAATGACTTAAGTTGTTAATCTCTTGCCTCAAATAATGTACAATTAATAAAAATGAACTAATGAGAGTTCACTTTACCTCTTTCTCCCTTTAGGAAGTAAAATGAAATTTCTGCAGAAGAAATGAAATCTTTGATTGACTGTCTCCATCTTAAATAGAACAGAAAGTGCCAAAGAAAATACTTCTCCAAGAGTCAGGATACCTCCAAAATCCTGGAAAGCTGAAAAGGTTACAAACAGTCCAGGTCCTTGGAGGAGGATTCTCCTGTTGCCGCTGTATTAATCACTGGAGGATTGCTGGGAGTAGTCTGGAACCAATGTTCTCATTACTCCGCCTCCAATTTTTTTTTCAGTGGCCTTTTCTATTTAATCCTTGGGCTCATTCTTTGTGTTATGTGCTTAGTCTGTGAAGGCACTTATCTTTTAATAGGGAAAGATTTGGTGTTACATTTCTTAAAAAACAGCTCAAAGATGAGCACAATGAGAGAAATGCTGAGTTGAAGGTACTGAGAAAGCATGATAGAAGTGCAGAATGCGCCCTACACACACCATTCTCATCACTGAAATACCATAGCAGCTTGACACCTATGGGCTGTTTCAGCAGAGCTAAGGAATATACTCCTCATATATCTCCAGTTTCTGTTTTTTAGTCTAATGTTCTGTCTGGGGGAATCTCACTGATGTGGAAGCCCTATTTATTAACACTGTTATTGAGTATCTTATACAAGTAGGCACCCTGCATCTCCTCCTCCACATCCTGTGGCACTTGAGTAGCTTGTCAACATTAAACTTCGTGGGATTATAGCTAACAGGAAAATATCCTTTCAAGGGCATGAGAACCCCCTTTTCTTAGTGTCCCCCATGTGCCATGTGTGATGGTACACGTATGTCATCTTATTCAGTCTTGAAGTCAACTTCATGAGATACTTGCATCTCCATTTTATTAATGAAGAAACTGGAATCCTAAAAGGTTAAGTAACTTGCCCAAAGTTATACAGCAGAGCCAGAACTGAAACCAGGACTATCCATTCATGAGCACAGAAGAAGTTGGTTAGTCCTGCAGATGGAAATTTGAGCTCTGTGGGATTATAGCTATTGAAAAAGTTTTCTTTTAAGTTGAAGTGTACCAGAGCCAATTTTCAGCTCTGAGGATAAGGGACTTCAAACTATAGGTGCCTAGATGTCTCTTTTTTGGTTCCCCTAGAATTGTTGGACTTTTTGCCCCAATTAAATTGGATTCAGACTATGAACATTCCTGGGCACTCACCACATAATCACCCTGACCCTTAATATCTAAAATAGTGGTATTGATTAGAAGGAGGAACTTATCAGTGATGGTGTAATTTTCATTGATAAATGTTATAGCAGATGTCAGTTTGTTTTCTTCAATTCCTGCTGATGGTTTTAACTGGCATAAAAATATTTATTCGAACTTAACAAAACCTTGTAAGTTGTATTACGATACAGTTTATTGAGTTGTATTGTCATTACAGCCCATTCAGGTGCGCATGAATGAATCTGAAGCGGACCCCATTTAAGACCGGTGCTATATAGTTCTTACGGGTCTAGAAAATAGAACTGAGCCTATGTCTTGTTAAAAAAAAAAAAATGTGTATTAAGCATCTTACCCCAGTGGGGCTCTTACCAGACATCTCTCCATTTGCCACTCCAATCCTGAGGGAAGAATTAGTAATTGGGAATTGTTTATAAAACGGGGGTAGGAGGTCTTACGGTGGTGAATCCTGACCGTCCCTCTGTGAGGAGACCTTTGCTTCAGGGATGGGGGTTCAATTCATTTTATCCCCGTGACCTGAAGCTGCTTCCTTTTTCTTAGGTCTGTTTTATTTTGTTTTTTGTAAAGTATTATGAGTTCTGGATGTATTTGTAAAAAAAATATTGCTCAAGATTTGTATAAAGTGTTGTTTACAGATCTTTTAATGAATAAACACAAAAATTCCATGGATCTCTTGGAGAATTTTAAATAAAGTTGCTTAAGATGTAAAGCTCTACTTCGCTTAAATCTATAACTAGCACATTTATCTAATGATAAGGTTAACACAATCCGAATCAGTGGTAGACTAACCCGACTTAATGACGGCGGCCAACATTTCCAGGCTGTTGGCAGACAAAGCCTGGGTCTAGATCGCATACACCGGGCAGGGTATATAGTCCGACTACCTTATTTGGCCTTGGCCCGCTTAGTGAAAGGGAGCTGGGGACACAGACCAGAGACGGCGCGCCGGCAGCAGCAGGAGTGGTTGGGAGGCAATGAGGAACACTAGTCTATTTCCGGAAGTCCTAAAGGCAAATGAGTGGATTTTATATACGCCCCGAAGGCAAAATGGCAGGATTTTGTTGAAGCTGGAATTGGTGGGCGGTTTTTAATCTCACCTTGGAGGAAAAGATCAGGTTCCTTTTGTTACGGAGACCCTAAAGCTTCCCAATTTTAACTGGCGATTGGCTCCGACTTCCAAAATCTGTGAAATAACTGCATCTATCCAATGCAAGTGTTCTCAAAACTAAGAATAGTGGGGGGTACAGCAAGTAGCGCAACGGGAAAGAAAAACCGCCAGAGAGAAAAGTTAAGGGTGGCAGGTGTAAGGTTAGGGGAGTATGAAACCAGTATCCCTCTCCCTACCAAATGCCGCCGCCGGTTTCCTCCAAAAGTTTTTAAAGCATTCCCCTTCCAGATACCAGCTTCCTGCGGGGAACGAAAAGTCCCAATGCCCCTCCAAATTACTCCCGGTCGGAGGCAAAAAAGCGGAGCACACTGGAGGACAGGAAATGGAGACGTCCCGCTGATTCTGGGAAATCGCGACGTGACGTCACGTCCGACCGAAACAAAATGGCCGGGCACTTCCTAGCAGCTGGGCGAGGGCGCCTTCAGAATTGACAACTGAGCATGCGCTAGAGCCAATGCACAAGAGACGTGTATTACATCAGAGCGAGCGCAGGCGTAATGAAATGGGCCTGAGTCTGCGCAGACTCAGAAAGTTTAGGCGAGCCTAAGAATGGCGGGCACGGGCTTAGTTGCCGGAGAGGTTGTGGTAGATGCGCTGCCGTATTTTGACCAAGGTTACGAAGCGCCCGGTGTGCGGGAAGCGGTGAGTTCAGGCCGGGTAGCTGACTCAGCGCTCTCGGGCCTTTAGTGCTGGAAGAAGCACCTTAGAAGTTGCTACCCCTACCCTGGCCCCTGTTCTCGTTTCTAGGCTGCGGCGCTGGTGGAGGAGGAAACCCGCAGATACCGACCTACCAAGAACTACCTGAGCTACCTGACAGCCCCGGATTATTCTGCTTTTGAAGTAAGTGTGACGTCTTGAGGCCACTGTATGAGCCAGGATCCTGTGAAGCTTTATTTTGGATTGAGAGTCTAGCACGTAAAAATGCATTTTAAATTCTGGCTTTAACTATTGCTTGTTTAGCTACTTCTTACTCTATTGTATAGGTGTTACCGGTCCATTGAAAACAGCTAGATAAGCCTTCTCCGGCGTTCTTATTCTGAGACCCACTGACGGACTTTCTGGGGCTTCGCGAAGTACCCAACAATGCAAAAATTAGTGTGTACAGTTTTTCAGAGATCGGCTCCTTGCGTAAATTCTCAAAGGCATCCTCTATTCTCTAAGGTCTACTCTAAAACAAGTGATGAGGAATTTTTAATATATGTAAGCCTAGACTCCTGAGAACCACTGGAGGGCGGCCTTTGTATCACAGCCTAGGTATTTACCGAATGTATGTGAATGACTCAAGTGACAAACCATTTGTAAGTAAAATGCTATTTAAATATTTAGCCTGGAAGTGCACCCAAGATACTACTTAGGGTGTAATCAGCTAAATGAAATGTAAAATATCATCTCTAAATTAATAGATTCTGTTAGGCACTTTAGTATTTGGTTTTTTTCCCCATTACAGGTAACCATGTATTTAATGAAAGAATTCTGTTATTAAAACGCAGTATTTATATTGAAGTAACATGAAAAGAAATGTCGGTTAAGTTTTAAATAGGAGGAAGTTGTTCCTATGGTATGTCATTTTCCCATACGTTTGCTAAATGTTACCCACGTATAGATGGTACCACATTAAGAAGTGGGTACAGTAATGCTTCCTTACCAGATTGGCTCCCGAAAATTTCAGATAACTGCATTCAATCGCAAACTTTTAAATATTTGAACGAGTTTTCCTTTTAGCTCTCTTAAATACAACATACGCCTCCTATCTTTATAATTAGTATACTGATCATTTAACCCTTTTTCAAAATAGGAATTGATAGTGTACTGGGCTCACCATCTTAGTCCTGAAAAGAGCCCTGTGAACTATGTATCTATATGTTTATTATTCTAATTTTTTTAAATGGGAAAACTGCAGCTTAGAGAAGCTAATTTGCCCAAGACCTTAACCACTCCTCAAATTGCTTTTGAAACTTCTCTTCCATTAATTCATTTAACCATTTATGAAAGTCTGTTCTAGCCAGGAATTGGGGGACTGTCTTACTTTTTAGTCTAATTGTTAATATAGTTGAAGCTGTCAAAAAATTGAAATTACACAGGATAACTGAAATACTACTATAAATGAATACGTAAGCAGTTTTTTATACTTAGGCCAGGAAATGTGCAGAACAGAAATGGAATAGCATACTGACCAAAACTTGGACCTAAAGAAGTAGACCTCTACCACGTATTTTTTTACTTTTTATTTTTTACCATGTATTTTTTTAAATCATACAGTTGTGGGGCACCTGGGTGGCTCAGTCCGTTGAGCATCTGCCTTCGGCTCAGGTCGTGGTCCCAGGGTCCTGGGATCGAGCCCCGCACCGGGCTCCCTGCTTAGTGGGGAGTCTGCTTCTCCCTCTCCCTCTGCCTGCTGCTCCCCTTGCTTATGTGCTCTTTCTCTCTATCTCTCTCTCAAATAAATAAGTAAAATCTTTTAAAAAAATAATAAATAAATCATACAATTGTTAGAGCAGATAACAGAACCAGTTTCTTTCACCCCTTCCCCATTTCTCATTCTTTGCAAAGAGTGAAGTCTGAAAATAGAGGAGCCAGGGCCAAAAGAAAGTATGGGTTTAGGCTCAAAGCCCTAAAGCAAATTATTTTATGTCCAAGTCCTCTCCTCCCTTCCCCCACTCTCAGT